AAATAAGATGTTTATCCTGTATTTGATTGTGTTTATCTGCAGTTAGTTACACGAATTCAGTTATGGGATGAAATCGGATAGGGATGAACGGGTTTAAGAGTTTTAAGAGTTTAAGAGTTCAAGAGTTTTTAAGAGTTTTAGCCAAATGCATTATAATATAGTATAGATATATATATATATATATATTTTTTCACTAATCTCGCAGGTCACCACCACATGCAACTCTTCATCTTTTTGCTAATGGACTCGCCTCACTTAAACAATACAGAAGCCCACACCCACACCAACACCAACACCCACACCTACAAACTATGCTGTTAATATCGGCGATATATCGGATATCGTTCCTAGAGAAAATATCGGTCCATAAATATCGGTCAAAATATCGTCCCCGATATTATCGGCGATATTTTCCGATTTTCCCGATTTTTAGCGATATTTTGATGCAAATATCGGACCGATATATCGATTTTTTAGGGTTTAAATATATGGGCTTTTGTTATTTCATGGGCCTAGTTTTTTGGGCTTGGTAACTTAAATTAGGTCTTAAATTGATCTGCCTCCACAACGGTCTTCTTCTTTCTTTTATATTAGCTCGTTTTTGAACACTTTAGATGATGTGATGTTTTAATTTTGAAACTATATTTCTAAACTCTAATTAATGCATATTATATATATAATTCTAAGAAATATTATGTTAACCGCTATTTTGGACCGATATATCGAATATCGGTCCTGACCGATATATCGAATATCACCGATATAACAGCATAGCCTACAAAGCAAGTGACTGTTATATGATTGTGTGTGTATATATACTACAAGCGGGTTCTGTTTTTTCTTATTTGATAAACTAGCTGATGATTGATAAATTAATTGTTAGCTAATAATCTAACTAATAAACTAACCATGTTTGACAAACTAGCTGATAAGATAGTTGAAACATACAAAATGATCAAAAATGACATGTTAAAAAGGTAATTTTAACATTTTATAATATTTTAAAATAAAACATTAATATTATCATATATTAATTAATATAAACTAGATAGTAAAAGGTTAAATAATATTATGGTATAAAGTGGCTGACCGAACCGTGCAAATCCCTTTGGCATGTTGGTTTAAATTTAATTGACAAATGTAGGATAAAATTGAATATGAGTAATAGTATAGGGACTATTTATGTAATTCACTCAACTTAGGTGGACAAGTCGATCTGGACAATACAAATAGAATCGATTGCAGGCCGCTTCCTCTGAACTCCATTTTCACACACGCGCAGAGACTGGTTCTAACTCGTCTCACAGAAGCGTGATCTGAAGAAATTGAAACAAAATTCGCAAGAAAGATGCAATACAAGAACCTAGGTCGATCTGGGTTGAAGGTATCGCAGCTATCCTATGGAGCATGGGTTAGTTTCGGCAACCAAATCGACGTCAAAGAAGCCAAAATCTTACTCCAGTGTTGCCGTGACAACGGCGTCAACTTCTTTGACAATGCCGAGGTCTACGCTAATGGCCGTGCTGAAGAAATCATGGGCCAAGCCATCCGGGAACTCGGTTGGAAACGCTCAGACATCGTGGTGTCTACGAAGATATTCTGGGGTGGTCCTGGACCTAACGATAAGGGTTTGTCCAGGAAACACATCATTGAGGGGACGAAAGCGTCGCTGAAACGGCTCGATATGGAGTATGTTGATCTGATTTATTGTCACCGGCCGGATTTATGCACGCCGATTGAGGAAACGATCAGGGCCATGAATTATGTGATTAATCAAGGGTGGGCGTTTTATTGGGGGACAAGTGAGTGGTCGGCTCAGCAGATCACGGAGGCTTGTGAGATTGCAAAGCGGTTGGATCTCGTCGGACCGATCGTCGAACAGCCAGAGTATAATATGTTTGCGAGGCATAAGGTATAGAAACCAAATCCTGATAGATTATTTGTCTTTAATTCAGTTTGCAATAATCTGGATTTGTTGAGAAAGAGTATTCGTGATCCTGTTTTATTGATGAAGCAACTGTACATAATGATTATGCTTAGTTAAGAGTGTATTCTATATAAGCAAATTAAACCCTAGTTGATCTGTATTTTAGCTTTATTTAGCTAATATTGTTGGATAGATGGGAAGGAGGTTCAAGAACAAGAACCCCTATCAACTTTAGGATTTGAAAGATAAATGGCATAGATTCATGTAACCGCCCCTATAATCGTGAATTTTGGCAAAATGCGACCCTCCGTTTGATTAAAATAAATGGATGATTTGGTTTGGTTTGGTTTGGTTTGGTTGTTCTATGTGTTCTCCCCAAATGGGATGAATCACTTATGCAAACCAAGTGTAGTTGTTGGCTTCTGGATCGAAGCGCATACCTTGGATACTTTCGGTATATTTTATGGGTGTTGTGGGTTCTTGCAGGTTGAGAATGAATTTCTTCCTCTGTATAACAACTATGGAATTGGGCTTACCACCTGGAGTCCACTCGCATCCGGAGTTCTTACTGGAAAATACAACTCAGGAGTTCCGGCTGATAGTCGGTTTGCATTGGAGAACTACAAGGTGAATCTTGCATATTCACTTGAAAATTATAGTGAATGGTGTTTGCATTCCACAATGGCATTATTTTTTGGTCTTTTGGGATCTGAATGAACTAAGTAGTACTTACCCAGTTGTCATCATATTAAAAAGATGGATGACTTCAATTGGAGTCCACTAAATTCCTGAAGGGCCTTGATTTTTGGCTTTACTTTGTTGCTATGTATGTTTACTGTTTTCTTTCTATATTCTGTGAAATATGCCAATTGTGATGTTTCATTTGCAGAATTTGGCAAGTAGATCTTTAGTAGATGATGTGCTGAAGAAAGTTAAGAACTTGAAACCAATTGCAGATGAACTAGATGTACCCATGTCCCAGCTTGCAATTGCATGGTGTGTTGCAAACCCTAACGTATCATCTGTTATTACTGGTGCTACAAAGGAGTATCAGGTCAGATTTTAAACATTTCTTTCTGTCTCAACAACAAACTTTTTTCCTACTCGTTTTCTCCTAGAAAGAATTTGGAAACTATTCCAAACCAAACGAACCTAATATATCCCACCCGCTCCGATGGTAGGGTCTAATGGTATGGTAAGTTGTACATACACTTTACCTCCCTCTCAAGGAGAAGATCCTGATTTGTGAAAAGGGCAAGTAAAGCAAATGGAAACGGAGGGTTTTCCTGTGTTTAAATGGCATTAGATACTTATCTCCTGGAATGCTTGATATATACCAACTATTCTAGTTTCTGTACTTGTTGATACTTCTTTCCTCGTGCAGATTCAAGAGAACATGAAGGCGATAAACGTCATTCCAAAGCTTACGCCTGATGTGATGGAGAAGATTGAAGCGGTTGTTCAGAGCAAACCAAAGCGACCAGAATCATTTAGGTAGAAATGATGGCTGGCTTTCATGACCATAAGTTGTTTTCCTCATTTCCAAACAAACAATGTTTTTTTTCTGAAACTTAACGAGTCTTTTGGTTGGTGAACCCCATGTCATCAACAGTGTGGTTATTGTTGGGTAGGGGTGTGATAGTGATTGGACACCAGCTATAATACATTACCAGAACAGTCAATTTATGTGCTGCTCTTCATGATTGCTTTATATTGTGTTTGAATCCAGTATATTTTACTTAGGCGCTGTTTGACAATTGCTGAATGGTTTGGTACAGAATGATTAAGAGGCTGTCATGATATAATGCAAAATGAAATATAATTGTTTGGTAATTGTTTACAATGAAATTAAGGCTCTTAATGATTAAGGAGATCCAGGATACAAAATCATTCAGAGGGTTTTAGAACCATTAGAAGACGGTCTTTTTTTTTTTGCCAAACAAGATTCACCTCTTAACGATTCAGAGGTTGCCTCTTAATGGAACTATTAAGAGGTAAACAAACAACCCCTTAGAAGAATAGGGTCTGAAAAATATCATCTGCAGTGGGGTTTCATCATCAATATGTTTTTCTATTGAAACCTAGCAATCATGTGCCAATAATGCTTACATATGATTTAGTTTAATAGAATTCACACTTCTAAAATGTTGAGTACCATACAAGTGCTACAAAAGGAAGGCTGCTCTACTGACAGCCAGATTGCCTGTTGGTCTTCTTTTTAGCTTTTTTTCTGTTCCTTTATATCCTTCTATCCTATAAAATCCTTCGCTTATACAAGTGGTTGTGGTTGTACTCTTGTCTGTTTTTTCGATTGGAGTGCAACGAACATCGCTTGGAGCCTGTTTGCTATCTGGGTGAAGGATGGTCTATCTGCTGGATCGTTTGACCAACACTCTTCCATCAACGCCTTCCACCCATGATCACAGTGTTTTGGAATAGGAGGCCGGAGTGTATTAGTCACGATCCCACCTTTGTACCAATTTACAACATCACAACATGGTCCATATGAACTACTTGAAAACTTGCTATGTGTTTGATATGCGGATGAAACTGGACGGGATAAGACAAGCCTTGATAGAGTACGTGAAAGGTTTTAGGGTTTTTAATTTGACATAGGGAGTTTAGTAATATACAAGTCTTGTTCCATCTTGATTTAGTTATTTTGTTTTGTCCTATTCCGTCATGTCCCCATACCAAATACACCCTAAAAGAATATGCCAACATGGTGTTACCTATGATGGCACCACAATGCATGTCTGCATAAGGCTCCTCCCCGGTCAAGATCTCCCACATTGCAATACCAAATGAGAATACATCGACCTGCCAGGTGCGACAACCCACAATCAGAGAGGAAACAAGAAATGGTGTAGCAAGCAGGATATAACTTACTTTCTCAGAAACCCGACTGCTGCTACCGGCTAGAAGCTCTGGAGCAATCCAAGGAAGTGTTCCCCGTGCACCACCCGAAACAAGCGAGTTACGTTTGATTCTTGATAGACCAAAATCACCAACCTAATATATATAAAACACAAGGGGGTAACTGAAGATGTTTCTTTCTGAAGCATATAATATTTATATACGTCCTCACCTTTGGTGAGGTTTGAACTCTTGACCTCCTAGGAGGGTGGGCTTTGCCGGTAACCCGGGTACCACTGAACCATTGACCATTTTGGTATAACTGAAGATGTTGATGGACTTAAATTGGGACATGTTTTGGTGTATAGCACGCTTTTGCTTCTTACCTTACACACCGGCCGTTCAGGATCTCCCAAATTGACAAGCAAGTTATCACATTTCAAATCAAAGTGAACAATGTTCTTCAAATGCAGGTACTCCATGCCAATTGCAGCATCTTGTGCAATCATGAGCTTCTTTCGCCGGTCAAGTACTCTGCAACAGGTTTAAGAGTTGCTTATATACCCTTCCTTTGAAGGAGAAACAAGTTCATCAGACTCACCTATTCTTATCTGAAAGAACATGCCTAAGTGACCCGTTAGCCATATACTCGGTAACCGTAGATAACGTTCCCCCGGGCCCATCACGTACAACGCCATATAATGCTACCACATTTGGATGGTGAAGTTGTGACAGGATCTGAGCTTCTCTCCAGAAATCTTTGGTCTGCGAAAAATATGACAACACATTGGTCATAAAGAATAACAATAATCTTGCTTAATATTATCTGGATCTTCATTTCTTTTGCGGTAGAGGTAGATCTTAAACTTATAGAACAATTACTTATCCATTTATCACGAAAATTAGTTGATCTTTTAGGAAGCTGAATGAAGAGTTTAAGCAAAATGTTGAGCTAATTGCTGAATATATAGTATACGAACCCATAATGAGCAAGTAGTTTAAATGTGAAACGTTTCCAATAAAATGTATCAATTTCCATGAGATGAAAGTAATATTGTTTATTTAGTTTTGCTTGTGACCTACCAACCGATCTTGCTCTGATGGTTTCCCCGAGAAACAGCCTTCTCTAATTCTTTTGATAGCAACATCTGTTCCCCTCCACTTGCCGTGATAAACAGTTCCAAATGTACCACATCCCAATTCACGTAGTTCTTCAAGGTCAGCATTTTTTATGGTCTGCATAATTCGTAGGGAGCTCTTGGTCAAAATAAGCCTATAGTTTTTAATCTTGAAATGCAAATTCTGTTGAGATAAAAAAAATTATGATAATGTACAGAATCGAGGTGATAACTTCTCAGGCCTATCATTTGTAATAGTATTGTTTACTTCTGTCTTGAAGACTAAAAGGACTTGCTTTCTAGTTGAGGCGAAACAATGTCAGATTTTTGGTGACTCCTATTCTTGTCATTATGTAGATGTCCTCTAAGATATCAAGGTTGATAAACAATGAAAAGTCTAAAACTTTTGTGTGTGTGTGTTTATAAAATAAACCTCTTTTCGTGAGAAGGTGAGAAAAGGTGAAGGTACCTTCATGTCATGTGAAGGTTTGTGGCAAGACATGTGAGGATGCCCTATGTGAATGTTACAACTCTACACAATATGATGTAACATTCACACAGTATCAAGGTACCTTCACCTTTTCTCACATGATCCCGACTATATACATTCCTCTCAGCCGCTTCAATGGGCTAAGCTAAGGTAATACTTGCTCAATATTTCAATGACAACATGCTACAACATACATCTGATGTACATAGAGGATGTTATAAGCCCTTGTGTCATATTCAAGAAGGAAATGTAGCAGGTTTAGCATTATGCATCAGTGAAAGAAAAGCATGTTAATGAATTCTTTCTTATGGTGTAAGTGTGAGAGGAAACTCGGTGTATGAACCAAAGACTAGTCAGCATCCTTGAATTCCTACTTCATTATTTAGTACTTTGTAATATGCTTCTTGGTAAACCAAACCAATCCAGTATATCCCGCTTGAAAGCAGGGTCTCGGAGGGGTGCGATGTACGCAACCCTGACCTCTACTCCAAAACGTAGAGCGGCTGTGAAGACCTCTGACTTGTGCAAAAGTGTGAGCGAACAGTAATGTGCTTACTGGTGTTTGTTAAAATAGGGATTCTAGAAATGGAAATAAGATGGCAGGTCAGTTTTGTAGATGCCAAGTGTTTCTGGTAAATGGGTTGATAACATCAAGACTCATGGTCTGTAAATCTAAACAAATTACAGCTTAAAGCAGAGAACTTCAGATGATTCAGAGTGAAGGAAACCAAGGTCTTGGGTCAGTGGTACCGACGAACTCAAGTACCATTAAGCTTAGGGTTCAAAGTCTCACAAGTCATCCCTCATCATTCGTTACTGTTACTATTATCTAATCAAAAGGATAAGAGAGGGGAAAAAAATCACACGTTTAACATGCTTTTGTGTAGTAGTTAGATACATAATAGAGTCCAGAGTGACCTGACAACATTCATCTTGACGTAATATCAAAAAGTTGTACCACATTATAAATTTCACAGGGATAGATTCTCTTTATGTTCCATAAGCATGTCTAAATTTGAGAAAAATGTGAAATAATATAAGATAGCTCAGTTTTGACCTTCCTATGTGATGCATAAACGATATTAATGTACAGTACCTGCAGACCATGTATTCCTGCTTGAATTTCAGCCACTGTAGTATCACTAATGGATCCATTCCTAATTCTCTTGTCATCCTCAAGTTCAACATCCTGAATACAGGTAGCAAATCAGAACTTTTGGAGTCCTACATCGGCTAGACTTGGACCATTTCTCCTCAATATATGTAGGAACCTCCCTTCTCTCCTCAAGAGCTCTTTTGGAGAGTTATGTAATTTGGTTCCACATATTCTAGCAAAAACCATAGAAAAACTACTTGATGTAATGAATATTCATAAAGCATTCATGACCAGGTTACCTTGCTGTCAGATTGAGCAGCTCTCTCAGTTTCTTTGTGGCTAGCAGTTAAAACTCCACTGGTTTTTTCTTGTATATACAGAAACTCTGTTGTTGATAAGAGGATGTCGGGTGGCAGACTATCACTATCATCCACATTCTTTTCATCTGAGGTCTGTGAAAGGCTCCTCTCACCTAGATTATCTATAGAGCTCTCACCAAGAGAAACATCACGGCTAATAGGAGCAAAAATGGTTGAATTCGGAATTACCAAATCATGGAAAAGATGGTCATTCTCATTGGAATCCGAGGTCAAAGTATGATTGCTTTCTACAGATGTAGTTAAGAGAAAAGGGTTTTCAGCATTGGCATCTGCTCTGCTCGTTTCCAGAGATATATTATGCTGCAATCCCGTAGATAAATTGGAAACCGTGTCACTACTAACAGTTGTAGCAATAGAATGCTGCCTTTCCAGAGGAGTAGCTGGCGATACACTGTGCTGATATTCTTCTGTGTCCAAATCAAAAGCCATGTTTAAATTGTTCTTCTCCATCCACTTTATCATATCCCATTCAGGGTACTGCTTGCTAGCATCTGAATTCGAGATAACTGGATGATTCTCACATTTAGATGTTTGGGTTTTCATATCCTGTTGCTGCAAAAAGGAAGCAGACTCTTCGAGTTTGCTTAGTATTGAATAAGGAACCACGTTTTGTCGTGAAGGGACTGCCACTTCACGTCGGCATTGCATGTCAGGTACCACTTTAGGATTTTGTTTATGGGAGATGACAAACTTTTCGGATTGGATTGCGGATTCATTAAGCACAGGTTTCTTGAAACTCGCATTACCTTGACCATAGAGACGTTGGACATAATACATATTCTCACTATTTGAGCCTTCAACATGAGAATGATCTTCGCAGGTCGGGCGAGATTCTACAAAACGCCTGTCCAGCTGTTGATAAGTTCCTAATGTTATATTATCTTGATTAACTTGATAACCAGTGACATCAAGATGATAGGAGTTCTCATATGCTGGTTGGTCCACTCGATCTCTACCAACTCTCAATTGAGAATTCATTGCATCTCTATATGGAAATGAAGGAGATCTCGTAAACAAGGTCTTCATGTTACCGGGTGTTTGAATAAATTGAGTGGGACTTGGGAGCTTTTTTGTCAAATTTGTAGAGCTGCCTGTGATATCCATTAGATGAATGGAACTTGGAGAGTCTCTTTGGAAACTTGTGTTAGAATCTGTTGGGCTCCCTGCATAACTTTCCCTACTAGAGGTCTTCCGCAGACTTGGTTCTGTAATGCCATTTACAGAAACAACATATTTATAGGCATTATCAGTCTGCTGAACAGATCTTGCTTCAGAAGAACATGGACTCTCAAGTTCATTTGAAGATTCAAGAAATATCCTGAGTCTTTGAGAGCCCTTTTCCAGTCCATGATATTCATCTATCATATGGTGAAAATCCTCATCGGAACATACAGATATAAGTGCATCAAGATCCTCACCAGGAAGCTGATACTTAATTATATGAGGCTGGTTGCAACAAGCATAAGTTTTTCTCATGAGTTCTTGATAACTTAGATTTTTCTTAATAGATATAATCCGTGTATCCCCTCCCACATATCTAAGCTTTCCATCACTTGGCCTTGCCAATATTCTACCACCAAAGCTGCAGAGAAATTTTATTTTCTCAGAAAAAGAACCATCTGGGACTCCTGACACCCGCCCGTAGGGTTGATATTGATGAGGTTGATATTGATGTGGTTGATCCGCTTTATGATGCAGAGCTTGAACATTATAGATTTCATTGGTATAAGTTGATTGTTGTGGATTCTGCTGATGTCCCCTGATAGTATAATCCTTACGATGGTATCTGCTAGTTACACCAGAATAAGAAGTTTGTTCTGCTTCTGTTTGAAGTTCTCTGCCACCCCAAAAGTCTAAAAACTCAGTAGCATTTACAGGATCTTTTTTGCTGATCTGAGTACCATTTTGATACTCATAAACAAGTTCATTTTCATTAAATTGGAATCCAACTCTTTTCTGTTGGTACTGATCTGTAACATTTCCTAAGAGAGTTCTAGAAGATGCGCCATGGTCTCTAATATGCTCAAGAGAGCATTCTTCAACTATCTTTGTAGGTATGCCAGAGTCTTTATGGAACTCTTGAGGACAATCTTTACCTGTCTGTATGGTTCTTCCAGATGTAATACGGTCTTGCTGGTTCTCTTGAGAAGATTCACCACCAGCTTGCAATTTTCTTCTTAAAGAGAGGTTTCGAAGAAAGTGCGGTGAAAACTCTTCACCGGTCTGTACAGATACATTTCGTATACAAGAGTCTAATTCAATTTCATCCCTTGTAACATTCTCAAGATGTTGGTCTGAAGTACCTGAAACCTCACTTTTCATTGTCTCAAATAAACGATGATGATGATGATGATGATGACTTCTTAGATGTACATTGACATTATTATCTATACTGCAAAGATGTCTGCTGTATGGCTTTATGTTCCACCAAAAAATAAATTCACAATAACCTCAGTCAAGGGTAAAATCCAATCCCCTGTATATTTGAGTGTAAACATATCTTCCATCCAAAACAGCCAAAATTCAATACAAAATAGTTATTCTTAACGTCATTTATGATGGCCCCCCCAAACTTGTGTAAATATGTAGAAAGAATCAATCAATCTCCATGACTGGCTGCAATAACTTATAATCCAAAAGGTCCTGCAATCGGCATTCCTAAAATCAGATACCGTCATTGAGGCATTTAATCAAACAGGTTTCCATTTACACACATCAAGAATTATAAGAAAACCAACGGTAGGCCAAAAGAAAACAGATGGCAATCAACAACTCAGAAAAATACAGAAAAAAGGGTACCTGCAAGTTTTAAAGCATTCTCCATGGACATCAAAGTTTAAGCCAGAGATGATCCTGTAAGAAATTGAAGGGTGGCTACCAGTTTCTTTCTAACGAATTGAAGGTCGGGGGGTTTCCATCATTCTTCAGGTGTAGGAAGGATCATTATTTGGATTAAAAAAAGAGAGGGGAAGCCCAATTTGGAATCTGGGGTTTTTTGAGGTGCAGATGAGAGAGAGACAAAGGGGGTTTGAACGTTTCGAAATCCTCGGAATAACGCGCCATCAACCGACGAGAGGGGGAAGGCAATTTGAGTAAAATACGTATAAATTCCCTGGGGTTTGTTAAGAATTGCAATTTTTGTCCCCGTTCTTTGGAAATTAAAGTCTTCATCCTTGTAGTTTACGGTTTTTTTTCCTTACCTAAGGATTATAATTTATTGATGTTTTTGTTCGTTGTACTTAATGATATATCATGACCGAGCTAACCTTAATGACAAAAATTTAGGGGTAATATGGTACCAAGTTTTTTTTTTTCATATACTGTGTACTAACCAATTATAATTGGTACGCAAAATTTTATACCATGTAACAACTAAATATATTTTTTATGATCGTGGGTTTCCAGGCCAATTTACACTCACCGACCAATCCTATGGACGACCATGAATGGCATGGAGTCATCGCAGGTGAACCTCCATGGTCATAAGGGCTTTGACAACACTTGGATTCGAAACAATGATATATGAGATTTTCCACTACATCCTTATGAGGCTTAACACCAACGAAAACAGGACCAATTAGATCTAGATATACTAAAAACATAAAATAACATGTTGATATATATTGTACCACTTATTCCTACCTATAAAAGCATTCAAATAACCTACACATAATATAAGCATTCACTAATAGTCTAATACATGCGGACATTGAGGAGTGGCAATGGACCATGGAGGTGTGGACACTTACTAAGGTTGTTAAGGTTAGGTGAACGATTTCAATCAAGTTATGTACAGCCATCCATATTATAATTTAACAAAACTGAAATAAGACAATTAAAAACTTAAAAATCAAAATATGTTGTGTTATTGATTGAACTTTAATTAATAAATAATTAAAAAAATAAGTTCGTACGTTATAGTATTACTATGGTAAACAACTTCTAATACCACGTATCAATCAAGTTTAAATAGTTGATACGGTCTACCAACCAATTAGATTCGTACCAACTAAATTGATATTAATTAAATTGGTATGATTGATATCACTGATTGATGTTATATTTCGCTCTGATAAATAAGATTGGTCTTTAAAGGTTATACAATAAAAGTTATAATTGTGACTTGGAATATTATAGTCTAATAAATGTTTATTTTTAAGTGCTTACTAAGTCATGTTACCTCACTGGAAAATATGGTAAGGACCAAAAATCTTACCCGGTAAGAGCGAAACAAGGACCATGAATCTTACCCTGTAAGTGAAGGCGACGACTCTTACCACGGTAAGCGTTTACCGGGTAAATTGGTGCATAGGATGTCGTTTTGGTGGACTAAAATCTTATCGCGTATGCAAATAATAATGTTAAATTTTACCAGTAAACACTTACCGGCTAAGTGTTTAATAAACGACCCGTAAGTCTTTTACATTTTAATCCAAGTCATTTGAGTAATAATTCTTTGTCAATCAAGTCTTTTGAGAAATTTGTGAGTTGGGGTTCACTTATTATCAACTTGGCTTATATGTATAATACATCTTTAGATGTAAGGTTTCATATAAAACTGTATAATAAGAAATCCATATAAAAATGAATAAGAAATATATAATAACATACTAAAGAGCATATAATAAGCATTTTGTATGGTTTGTTTTATTCCAAATTTTGTTATATGTTTTATATTTAAACATCAAAAGAATTAAACAATCTTTTTTAGTTTAAAAAATTATTAATTATAATTTAGAAAATATTCAAATTTGATAAAGTTACTCTTTTTAATTTCCTATAACCAAAAAAAGTTATCGGTTTATGATTTACTACTTCGTTGCAACTTCATTAATGAAATTGAATGAAGGATCAAGATGTATTCTCACGTTCTCAACTTTTTTATTGTTCTCGTTCAAACTCTACTATATATGGTTCGGATGTTTATTGCATGGGGATCAAGCATGTCAACCATGTAGTACCCCCACTTCCAGATTCCGTCACCCCTCATTTGAAGAATTCCACAAAGCCTATACCATTTATGCATTGCCCTTTGCGTTTAGTGTCTCCGGGAAAGTGCGTGTGGCAATCATGCCATGATGGGTTGTGGTTGATAGGCCTTGTTTTGTTCATCATTTGTCTTTGCAAGCTTTCAATTTTTGTTTGACCTTCCCTCTATTGGATGTTGTGTTTTAAACTCAAAATCAAATATCTATGGCTTGTTAAAGTCGATCGATATTGATTGCTGGTTTCGAGAAGGGTTGTCTTCGATTGTCTATAGAGTATAATAACATTCATTATTGCATGCTAATCAGAATCCTAGTTTTTAATAATCAAAATCAATCTAGACGCTAACTAAAACGGTTGACATACCTCTCGTCCTCATGATTTGTTACCAAAGCTAGTGATGGATTATTGGTTTTTGGTATATCGATTAAGGGAATTTGATTGGAGTTGACTATGGGGGTTAATCACGATTTGCTACCCTGGAACTTTGCTTGCTCGCTCATGAAACATACATCTTAAGTCATAAAGCTCGTGTAGCAAGTCACAAACCAAAATATTGAGGGCGCTCTTGAAGTTGTCTCCTAAAGCGGAAAAGTCATGTCAATCCCACCTAGGGGTGGCAAAAAATGACCCAACCATTAACCCAACCCGAACTCAACCCAGAATTAGCAGGTTGGGTTGAGATTTTCAACCCATTTAAATAAATGGGTCAATCCGTCTAACCCATTTAAATAAATGGGTTGGGTTGGGTTGGGCTAAATTTTTGGACATGTTTTCAACCCGTTTTCAACCCACTTAAAATATTATATAAATTTATTTTATTCTTGATATTATATCTATTTTATTTTTATTTTACTTCTTTTTAAATATTGGCCCAAGTTTCAAATGACTCTTCGTTTTCACTACTTCAATTCTTTCACATGCTTCATTCATTACTAATCAATATCATCATCTATCCTTGATCCTTCATTATCGTATCATGACTTCATGAGTATCAGTATCATCTATCTTCTATCCTTCATTATCGTTGCCTTCAATCTTCAATTCTTCATTATCGATTACCAATCTTCTCCCTTTCTTTTGAGTTCTACCTTCTTGGCTTCTCCAATCAAAGATTTGGGTTAGTTTCAGACTTTCAGTTTCCGATTCGAGGTTGAGGGATTGATCAAGTAAGTGGGTTTTCTTATTTTCTAATTTCTATGATCTCTTTTGTCCCAAAAATTATCTCTCATGTCTCGCATGTTTATATCCAGTTAATTTTTATTTTGGAGCATAAATCACACTCTTCCTATATTTGTTTCTTATTTGAGCAGTTTTATTTGAATGACAAAACATAACTCAAAAATTATCTCCCATGTATACATGTTTGTTATGTAAATGTGTGTAGATCATTGATGAATACACATCAAAACACATCTCAAAAATTCAATTGTTAGGTATCAGCAGTCAACTTGCATCCCCATTATCCTATTCCCATGATTCATGGTCAATTATTTAGACATATGGTCACACCACCCCCAAATAAACGCACGCAATACATGGGGACAACAAATGGTAGAAGCACCACTACTTTCTAGGCTAGCAGATATGAGAATTGCTGCCTTTTGAATCTTTTCAACATCATTGAAATAGAGAGACATTATAAACACAAGACAACATTATGTATACCAAGTCCGAGTAACTTATAACGGGTGTTAGGTGCTAAAAGGTGTAAAAATTAGGGTTTTTTTTCCTTAAAACCTTGTGACCAAAAGAGACTACAACTGCAAGCAACATATATCCAATATTATTTACTTCAATACCTCTAAGTTTGATAACGTCAAGTTGACAACCACCATGTTACCACCAAACTCACCCATTTTTCATTTTCGGAAGACTGGATAATTCTGCTAAAGAGAATGTGTGATTATTGACATTTTTTTTTCTACGTAAAGGAATGGTGATAAATTTGCTGGTAAACTCGGTGGTTGCTAGATTTGCTATACACATACAAACATGATAAATTAATAATAAGATAGAAACGCACACACTTTGCTTGGCTGCTGTATTCTAGGCAGTGTAATTTACTGCTCATGATAGATTTTTAATGTAGTTTTCCAGAATATGGTTCTTCTAATAAAAGGGAAACTTGTCGACTACATCTTATCAACTAATAAGACTTTGTCATTCAGAAAAGCTAGAGTTGAACCAAGTCCTTGGAGATTGTTTTTAAACCCATAAAATTCCTTTTCCAACTTGCACAGCTTTCCTTTTGTTTTCTTGGCCCGCTAGTATATCAATAGAGACATGATTTTTGGAAGGCCATATCTATATATACATTGATTTGAAAACAGAAA